CCGCATGCAATAGATTCTTTGGTTGAAAATACGAAAAGTTTTTTTATCACACAGATAGTATTACAGTGAGACCATTGATTGAAAACAGACCGACTTTCATAACCTTGTGAAGGATTTGGTATCTCCGAGGAGTAAATCCCAGTTGAGTTCTGATGTACAGTATGAAGGAATTTCAAAAAAATTTCTGATGAAGTTTAAATGCAATCAAGGCTCTCTTCCCTCTGATGCTTGCTCCTCGGGTATCTTTAATCGGAACAAGAAATAATCACATTTTTTTTACTAATCCCTTCGGATCTTCGTCCGTTTGTGATAAATGATGAAGAGCAAACGCGCCTTGTTTTTGTTTTTAACCTATGGCATAAAACTTATAAATTTTCTCTCATTATTAGAATTTAGCTGAGCAAATTCCTTGTAAAGAGCACGCGCTAATTATAGTTATACTTCCAAACCGCACGATTTTAATAATTTGCGTTGCCACCGTTGTTTAGCATATAAATTATTTCATCATATCCTTTTGTTTCGTATGTTTAGGTATGCAAAATAATCCTTTGTTTATGTTGTCCTTTGTATTCTGCTCTTTATATTACGTCCGAAATTGTTTGGCATCAAATGGAGTTTATTTACTTTGAACGGTAACACAGAACGTGAAGCGTCGACAAACTCTCAATAATAATTGAATTACATATAGTTAGTTACGTGGTCAAAGTTTATTATATTTTTCCAATTAAAATAATACAAGGAGAATTTAGTTTCTATAAAATGCGAAAAAAAGAAGGTCCAAAACGCGTGCTAGCAGTTTTTCTTCTTGAACTTGTAATATTTGGTTATTAACAAAGCAAGAACATTGGAGAGGAATTATTGATTCACACTCTTTTAAATGCAAGAAATAACAGAGAAAAAAAGAGAAAAGGGTAATCAAATTTTTAATTATGCGAAAAAAATTTCTGCACTTATAAGATAAATTCAATACATTTCGTAAAGATGTAGAAGATAACTGAAAATTCTAGGATGGTACTATTTGGACAATAAAACGTTGTGTTGCGTCAGTGTATTTCAAGAAATAATTTAATATTTGCAATAGTGGATGGGACTACATTCAATTGCAAGTACTAATTTAGACAGGGCAATTACCTAATTATTGTATATGTTACGAGGATTATGGAAAATCGGGCATTGTTAGCAGTGCTCGAGGAATCTAAACAATGTCTAATGGAAAATGTCACTGCGGACCATATAGTTAGCACTTAACTACGCTGCCAATCCAAAAAACATCACCAAAACTGACCAATATACACAGTCATTGTATACTTTGTATACGTGCTAACATTGCCCTAATTATCCACTAATAATTACTGACAGTAGCATATACAATTATTGAATAAACATATTAAATAATATTATCATATTACATTGCTATAAGCGGATAAACGAGTACGGTGATTTAAGTAAATTAGTAAGCGATTCAGAAGCTAGTTGAAGCTAGGCAAGCTTTGGTTCCGAAAAGCAATGGTAGTTTGAATGGAACACATAGTCCTCCCTAAAGGCAAAGAGCATATACGCCTGCATTTTAGGCGATCATCGGGTCATACTGCATTAAATACAAAAAGAAATTACATAATTAATTCGTAAAATTGCTACTGTTGTAATGCAAACGTGTCCATTTATTCATGGGCGACTGCACAGAGTTGCTGAATATGCATACATATGAATGGTTGCTATGGTAACCACGTAAGGTGGGAGAAATTAATTCCACCGGGGCAGTAAAGTTTTGGCGTGTGAGATTATAATGAAACAATATCAAAAATTTCGTAATTACATTATAAATAAATTCAAACCGCCAAGTTCATAACTGTAACGTCTGTAACTTATTTAACTTGAATTGAAATTCACTGCCTTTACGTTGGTATATCAAACTGAGCAATGCGGAACCTTGTGACCTTGCGAACCCTTCTGAGCTTCTTAAGCCCAACTCACACCAGGTTACCAGGTACCTCCCGATGTTCTGTTGATATCCTATAATGACGACTCTCATAATTTTTTGTCTAGTGTGTATGCACAAAAGGAGTTGCATGTCGCATGTCAATGAGCCAGCGGAAGTTCTCGTGCTTTTCATTTTCCAGCTAAGAAATCTGCTCTTGTTGAGGTCCTGTTTTCCTGGCAAATAATAAACCTAGTTGTGGCTGAGCAAATTGTGCTGCCTGCATTTGATCTCCTAGTCCACTTTTGTGGGATTTTGTGGAAGCAAGTTTCCGACAACTTTACCTTCTATCAGTTTTTTTAAGAACGCTCCGGATTGGAGGTAATGCATTCCAGGTAATTATTGACTCTCATTTGACTCTCAATGTTCGAAGGGTTTTTTTCCTTCTTCTTCATCGTGTTCTTGTTTTTACCACTCGCGTTCCTGTCCTACCTTGGTGGTGAACTGTCGCTTTCTCCTGGAGCAAGTGTCGTCTACGATCCCGAAGAATCTGCTCGGCATCGGATCACGCGCCGGCTTCACCGGACTTTGTCCCGGCATCTCGCCTAACTGTGCACACAACGCAAGAAGAACAGATAAGCAATTCGTTTAATTTTAAGCGTTTCTGTGTTGTTTCATTTTTCCCTAATGTGATATAATTTACTGTATTGTAGAAGGGGGAACGCTTAACCTATAAGTACTTTTCTATTTTTAACGCACAGCACATAATATCATAAAATAATTGAAGGTGGCAGTGGAATAAATCTGTCGCAAATAGTGCACTAAATGCTGCCATTATTTTTTTTTTTCCTTCGTTCGTAAGCACCTACTCAAAATCACTTATATTTTCTTTTATACAAATTTATTGTTATGTTTTTTTTTATCTCAGTATCTCTAACGACGACTACTCAGCTGTGATAAATCTAGTCCTCTTCCGATTTTAAGAAACCAGAACCTCTCCCTCTTTTAATTTTTTTCTGTAAGTAGACCGATGATGCGTGCATAGAGTCTAAATTTGTATGCTTTTTTATATATTAGTTGAATAATTCCTAAAGTTATTTGCATTTCCATATCAGTTGGTACGAATTTCCGTTGGGAGCACAAGTTGCTAGCCTGCAAGGCATTTTGCTTTTTTTTTAATGTCGACACTTATTTTAAAGACATTTTTTACGAACCTTATTGTTACAAGAATGTTATTTAAGCTTTATTGTTTAACGTAATATTAGTGAGACATTCTGTTAACATGCATTAGTTTAAATTTGCAATTTACCTATGCTGTTGAGTACATAAGAATATTATTTTCTTTAAAGTGTTTGGCAAAATCTTGTTTGCATGAAATCAATACCATCTCCCTTGATTATACAGCTATGGTTATTTTATCCTTTATCAGTCTGGCACTTAATTGTAAAACCTACTTTACCTACAAGTATCGACTCTTGAAAACGTTCACCAACAGTCTCGCAAGCGGTATGTTTTTAAAGTAGAGCGAACTACTAAGAACGCGACCAATAAGCAAGATTCGCTTCCGAAACACTTGGAGTTCATAACAATGTTATTCTATCGACCGCGTTCATCGCATATCGCTTATCGCACATTTCTAATTCACCGCCATAATGCTCACATTGTTCAGGCCAAATGAAATCATTTGTAATTTCGGGCGTTGCCGTAATATCGCTGAAAGCCTGGTCCTTACCGTGTAATGGCTGAAATGTAAAATGCCTGGGATACGACCAATAACGCTTGAGAAAAATGTTCGTCATTTGAACACTCTCGGTAATGATCATTGCAAGTACCACGATTTTTTCACGCCGCCGCCTAACAAATACTTTGCGTAGACGTGAAATTAATTTAAACTGTTTTGAATTTTTGCTCACCCTTTCGCAAGGTTGGAAACGATTCGGAACTGATCGAAAAGGATTTTAACCTCGTTGATATGATTAGAGAAGTTTTAATTTTGCTATTTTGTAAATATCTAATAAATTCAATAAATGAAACGAAATTGAGTGCGCGCGCTTCTGATCCACAAGAATTTAATTTAATGACTTCATATGTTTGTTAAGGTTTAAGAAGTGTTTTGTTTTTATATAATGTGTATTATCGTTATTTTAGTTATTTGGGTTACATTAGGTTTTTGGGCAATTTTAATATACAAATAATTTATTACCCTGTTTCCTTTGGCCAAGGTTTATGCAGGTAACAAACGGCTATAAGTAACTTAACTGCTACTACATTTGAGAGGAGTGAAAAAAGTCTCTTTAACGTACTCAACACTGTCCTGACTGCCGATATTGTCAGAGTTCCATATTAAATGGCCATCCACTAATACAGTTAAATTAAATAATTTTCAAAACATGAGCAGTTTCCAATAAATTTGGTCCTCGATCAGGCTTGAATCGCTCTTTTTTTTTATTTTTTATTTTTTGAAAATGACATGATGTAACAGTTTTTTTCTACTCTCGTCCGTAATTACACACCGAACTAGCGGACGGGGAGCGTCACTTTACTACATCAGTCTCGTTTCCCATGAATTAGAGCCACTTCGCACATTTCCGGGATTTTACCGCACGGGTTTCAGAGCAATTTTGACGTTTGTCAATTCTGACAGCCATGTCAGTGTTGTTTTGCGGAAATGTACCCAAAAACTAATGTTCGCACAAAAAGTATAAGATGCAACATGTTCGGTAAACTTTTTAAGTCACTCGTTTATTAAACACTCGCTCCGATCGTGTCAAATAAACTCATGAGTCAAATTCTGTTTACCGCAGTTGTTGCATAATATACTATAATTATTAAGTGTTTTCGATCATTTTCTATTATTAGATGTGGTTATTATCTGTAAAAAGACAACATAGTAGTATACAACCCATTATTTGCAAGCATATATTCCGTTGCATGATCTAATGATTTACTATTCCTCACATATGTATTGACTTGAATATCAAACAATTTGACTAATGATTGTAAAAAAATATTGCGTTTATCTGAAAGCTGTTTCTTAATTAAATTTTTGTTTTTTCTTATAAACGTTTTTCTCTATTTACAGATCCAATATCTGTCACCATCTTCGAGATCGCAATGCAACATGTTTTATTATTTAGCAACATAAAATGTTGACATGATCAATATTGCAAGACTCTGCGTCGAACTGAGTGAAGGTAACGTTGGACAAATTCGTAAATATTTATTTTAAAATTACTTATTTATTAGAAGATGCCATCTAATGAGAGATTGTCGACAAAAAAAAACTGATACACACACAAAAGAAAAGGTTTGAAAAACCCTGCGTTCGTTGAACGTGAAGTTTACCTAAGTGTAGCAAAGCTCCCGGGAAATTGATGGAAACTTTTGGCGTATTTTTTCATTAAAAAATACTTATCAGGCTCTCTGGAGAGTTTCAATATTTTCTTTAGATTTTATCGCAATTCGATTTCAAATAATAAATGTTGCAAGAAATTTTCCGACTTGCGAAAATAGGAATTGAAAGATACTTTCCCGCGGGCTTCCTGTGTAAAAATACGTGATGTAATTACGTCTTTTTGTCTAGGGAATTGCTACTTTTTCCATTTGATTTTTTTACCTCTTTCGTACGATGGAAGGGTTGTTAAACGGAATATTTCAAGGAGAAAAAAAGTTAAGTTTTATGAACTCGAGAGCTCGGTCAGGACACCTATTGGCGACAAACACCTTGTAACTGTTAAATGATCTTTGAAGTAGTTAGTTTTATAATTTAATTAGAAGCTAATTTCTTCGAATCCGCATGGGTTCATGTCCCTGGCTTTATCGTCTCTAATCAATTCGTATTAGATGCGATGGTCAAGTTAAAGTTACATTTAATTAGAAAAAGTCACTTCAATATTCTACTTTTAGGATTAATTGTAGAAGAAAACCTCAATTGGAAAGAACATATCTTACTTATTTATTAATGGTCGCACGGATACTCATTACAAGCAACTTAACATATTACAATTAAATAAATTGAGAGATTTTTAACAAAGCAAATATACCTACAATATGACTTACAACAAGCAAAAATCAAACGTTGCCCATGAATCAATCAGAACAAAATGTCTACGAAAATTCAATATAATATACTATTGGGTTTGATAAAAGTATATAGTATATAGTATAATTTTAGGATTTGTAGAGACAATATTTACAGTTGCTTTATTTTATGATTATACAATTTTACAAGTGGTTATGACTGTTAATCAATTGTAATATACATTGTGTAGATCAAAGCTTGCCGAGTAAAGTTTATTTTGACTCAGAAAAAGCTGAAAGTCGAGTACAAAACATTATTCTTCACTTGACTCCAAACTTCAGATTGGAGGTACATTTTTATTCGAAAATAACATCTTAGCTTTCAAGTAAAGTTGTTTTCTTGCAAATACAACTCCTAACGGAAGTTATGCAATTACTCTAAGTTGGCAATCGTCCTGTTTTGGGATATTTGCGATCCCAGAATGATATTCCATTTTCAATTTTCGTAGCAAATTCTTACTGTCTATTGCATTGCAAACTTAAAACACTAACAATATTTATTTATGTAATTAACATTTAAAAAATTGTAAGTAATTTAAATATTTATTTCTTGTATCTTTTAAATACTTTCATTTTAATTTATCTTTGATTTATCAAAATATTTTCGATATTTATGAAGTGGCGGAGAAAATAATCCTGTTTATTTTATTTCTTTACCAGATATTTTCCATCCACCCTAGGAAATTTCAACTCCCCTTGTCGTACTCTTTTTATCCTTTTCAAAACCACAAACACCCTTAATCGACTTTTTCATTATTTGGACGGTCCTTATCAAAAGAACGCTCGTTATTGTCTTTTTGTGTGTGCAGGAATGGGATTTTATTTCGTTGCTTTCCCACCGAGAGACGAATTGTGTGACGTTTAGCTTAAATACTAATTAATCTCATTTAGCTTATCGTTTTGGATTTGGATAATGCAGCTATATTTAAAGTCAACTTTAAAAAGTGTTATTAGTTATTTCAAAGCCTTTCAACTAACATAAATTGTGATTTCGTCGTGTGGTTTAATGTATGGAGATCACTGTTTGGAGAAAAAATGGCGGAAAATGCAACTATATGCAATTTAAATGCATGCGCGGAAGATCACGAAAATGTCATAGCTGTCCGATATACACGGTGTTCCAAATAAAACTATCCACTATACGATCTGGAAACCCATGGGAGATATGAAAAAAATTTCGTACAAAAGTTTCTTGGACTCTCTTGAATATTTTAAATATTATAATTTTGTTGATACAGGTGGTCCCAAAAGTGTACTCCCCCCCAACATCAACAGTGTTAATTTTTCAAAGAAATTTCCACAGGCTACTGCTTCAGTCAAGCTCTGAAGAAGTCAACAGGATCATTGGCGAAACGTCAGCAAGTTTGACTCAGCAAAAACCGAAGCAGGAGGAATCCAGAAGTTTAGTAAAAAGTATCAACGTTGTTATTTAAAATGGAAAATGAAAAAGGTCACTTTCTTAAGAATTCGAATTTTGCGTAGTTTAGGCAGAAAATGAGGTTATGTTTTTTCTTTATATTTTGATTGCCCCATATAAAATTGTGTTGTGACGCTACTGCAACGTATTGCAACTAAAATTTAACCACAGACTAAGGAGATGATGTACTACTCAATCAGTTTGACAGATGCGCCTCAGCTTATAAAGGGTGTCCCAAATAGGTGGTGCGGTTGTGGCGAATTTAATTAACAAAATCTCAAGATTTTCAAATGGAACACCCTATATTTTTATTCAGATACCAATTCTAGGACCAAAAACAAGGTAACTTTGTAATTTACATATTTTACTTACTTTTTGAGATATTCGGGGTTTAAAATAACACCTGTATAAATTCTTGTTGAATTTAAAGCTGCCCACACCAGGTCACTTATTAGCAATATTAAGTATTTTATAAACAGCAAAGATATAATAGTCCAGAACGAAAACATACCTAATAATAATATATCCTAATAATAAATCTATATACCTAATAATAAAAATAACTAAAAATAAATAATTAAAATCTATAGGTTAACTAAAAAACTATAACTTATAAAAAATGTATACTAACAAAAAACTAACCAACATTATGAACTTTTTTTGAATATGTTCATATAATACATGAAAAACCACAAAAACAAACAGAAATGTCAAAGTTTGTTTATACCATAATGCGCCAAAGAAAAAAAAGATTGTGGTGTCGTAACCAACTACATTTTTAAATATTTTGATATTTCTTTATTGTTCTGATGCCAGATGAAACGAGCATTTTAAGAGGAACATTTTTAACTAAACTTTGTGGACCGAATTAATGAACACTTTTTTGTTATTTTTTTTTTATAGATTTATTTATTCAAATTTGTTACCTTGGATAATTAGCCTATAAAGTTTAATTCTTTATTTTTGTTATTATTAATGTCTTTTTAAATATGAATTCTGAAGTTTTATTAAATCTGTATTGTTAGCAATAGATTTTATTCGTATATGGAGTATTATAGCTTTGCTTTGCTAATGTGGATAGCTTTAAATTTAACAAGAATTTTTACAGGTGTTATCTTAAACCTCACATAGTAATAAAAATTTAAAAATAAGATAAATTACAAACTTACCTTAATTTTATAATAGAATTGATATCTGAATAAAAATGTATGGTGTTTCATTCTCCAAAATGGCACCACCTATTTGAGACACCCTGACTGAGTAGTGCAGCGTCTCCTTAGTCTGTGGTTAAATTTTCATTGCAATACCTCGATTAGTAGCGCCACAACACAATTTTATATGGGGCAATCAAAATATAAAGAGAATATTAAAAAAATTGTATAACCTCAATTTATGTCTAATTCGAATATGAATTTCTTAAGAAAGTGACCTTTATTTTAACCAAGGATTCAAAAAATCTCGAAAGGGTGTTCCGGTTACAATACCAAAATTGATGTCGTAGGAGGGGGGGCACTTCTGGGACGCCATATATCAACAAAATTATAATAATTTAAATCTTCAGGAGAGTCCAGAGAGTATTCAGATCGTATAGTGGATCGTTTTATTTGCACACGGTGTACATTTTACGGTATCTACGGTCCCTATATGATTTACTTACTATTTCGAAATAAGTATCTTAATAGCCATTGAAACATTTACTTGATGTAATTACTTAAGGGGCTTTAAATTCGTAAACGAACAATTTCATTAGAAAAAGCCTTTTAAAAATCAAGCTCATCGAATTAACTATATTAGTATATTTATTGAATAAATAAAGTCCGTTTCAAAAATAAACCAAAATTCAAAATGCTTTAAACCAGCCCTTCCGTTAGCAACTCTGGAGTAAAACAAGCGACGTAAATATCTAAGCAGTTTTTCCATCAATTATTCAACTTGAGCACTTGGCTTTGTGCCCGATATAAGTTTTGTAAACAAACTAAACAAGCAAAACCAGTTAAGTTTGCACTTGTCACTTTACTAATGCCCCTTTGCTCAACTGAACTTAAGCTTTATCTCGCTGTAAATTATTGGGGAATTATTTAAAAGGCTAATACCTTCCTTTTTAATGGTTGTTTTCTCGAAACTCGCAAGAAACAAGTGTACTTAGGGGAACTCAATAAATTATAGCGGAGGATGCACTTTGAGATTTTGACGAAGTTAGTTTTTATATTCACCGAGATTATGCATCCTAAATTAGCTATATTGGTGACCTGTTTTCGGAAATTTATATCGTATCTTTAGAAAGGTGGCAACTTAAGAAATATATATCTTGTATATAAACATTTGAAGTCCAGGTACCTATTGCAGGAGTAGCTCTAAACATACTCTATTAAGGAATGTAGAATAACAACTTCTACGACCGAACCTTCCATTGAATTCCGACTTTAATTTTACTTTTGACCGTTTACAACTTTGATGGTTATGTAGGTTGGTTAGACAGTGCCGGGTGTAAAATGTCATACGTTATAATTACAATATATTATTATCCTACAAGATATCTTAAAGACAATGACGAACATATCTATTTAAAAATATATAAGGACATTAATATTAATAATTCAATGATCTGACACTAATATAATTATTCTGGGAACCTATAAAAATAACCGATTACCTGTCAGGAGTGTACAGAGTCTGAGTCTGAGTCTGAGATGTTCTACAGGAACATAAGAACAATAATGTTTATTTAACAACATAGAAGTTACTTACTGCAAAAAAGTTACAAAAGTGTATTTTACTTCATTACCTATATTTCCAGTTTTTTTCTACATTGAATCATATCACAAAATTAAAAATTTAAATAGAGATGAAAGTATTTACCGGTTTATATTTCTAACTTTAGCTAACTTTTTTTAACACCCCGTTTTTTGTTAACGATTAAAACTCGGCGCCACATTGTCTTATTTTGATTAACATTATATGTCATATTCACTTACAGGAAATGTACCTATATCACTGTTCAAACGCACCGAAATCTGAAATATTCATTTTAGTCAATTAAAATTTACTTTTTACAAATTAACTTTCCCACCAGTCTTATGCATTTAGTAATTGGTATTGTAATTTTCTAATCAATAAAAACCGCGAACGCAATGCTATGGCATCGACCATTGTTGAGTCAATTAAGTCCGAGATACTCTAGACAGCACATCTATTCGCGCACCGCAATTGATATAATACAATTAAGGTTGACCACCCACCAGCGTTTGATTAAATTAATCATCTTCCAATTCGAGCCTTACCCCTGAAAAGGAGCCACGTCAGACTCGACCGTTGCCGCTTCAATAAGCGGACTGTTTAATTGACGCCATTCCATTCATAATACGTCACCAATTGCATTATTGTTTTAATGGACATGCGATAAATCCAGAACCATTGTGACAGACAGGGTGATAACGCAACAGTAGTTGCTGGTTAATAAAGTAGCGACTTTGTACCGTCAATTTACGTCTATTACCGAAATACGATGCATTAATGAAAATGTAACATGTGCGTACGGTCGGGGTGATTACAGTTATCGGCTTTGACGCTTAATATCGCTGTCAAATCACGTGTAGACCGAGCGTGTAGACCAAGATAAGAGTGATTGAACGAGTCCGACCGAAGCTTCGTAGGGGTTTTCGATAAATCAGAGGTTTGACATGTATTGATTCACGCGATCTGCACAGCATGAAGAACAATACCGAACTGTAGGTATCTAGAGTGACGATTAGAAATACTCATCAATAATTCCGAGTTAAATATTGTTCTTCCTTCTGTAACATTTCTTTATTCTATAGAGACTAATAAGGCATTCCATATAATTTTCGACCGACTACTGTAATAACTTTTATAAAACTTCTGGATTTACCCTGCGTCTGCTTTTCATTAGTTTTAGTTTTAATTAAACTCTGAAGAAGCCAACGGGATAATTGGCGAAACGTTAGCAAGTTCGTCTCAACAAAAACCGACGCAGGAAGAATCCAGAAGTTTTATAAAAAAGATTGCATACAGTTGGGTTAGATAGATTTTCCCCTGCATCGTTTGTTGCATGTTTGTCCACATTTCAAATGCCTCGATTCTGTTTATTGTTTCTACTTTAAGTGACCAAGTCTCAGCGTCATACAACGTCACCGGCCATACATAAGACAGAATTACTCGTATCCTGATGTGTAGCAGCATATTTCTATGCAGGAGTAAATTCGTAAGTTTAAAGAACATTATTTTTACTGGAAAAATTCTTCTCTTAAATTCTCCATCGCAATCCGCGAAGATATGTAAAATTTGCTACCCGTTTGATATTCTCTCCATTGTTGTTAAGAAGGGTGTTGCACTGGCGTCTGCTGTGCACGATCATTTTTGTTTTTGCGACGTTGATATGGAGCCCAAAGTGTTCACCGCACTCGTTTAGTTTATTTAGCAGAATCTGGAGGTCTTCGAGATTGTTAGAAAGAATTGTGTCTGCATAGCGGATATTATTTATTGGGATGCCGTTGACTTTAAAACCTCGTGTCTCACTCTCCAAAGCAATCTGAAAAAAATTTTCTGCACAAATTTTAAACAGAATGGGTGATGGTACACACCGTCCCTGCCGAACTCCCTTCAATGCGCTGAAGATCTCCTTTGTCCGATCACCATCAATACGGATCTCTGCTGCCAATGCAGTTCTTTAATTATTCTAATATCCTTGCCATCCACACCTATCTCCTGTAGTCTTTCCACCAACGGTTCGTGTTTCACGTTATCAAAGTTCCTCTGATAGTCTATAAAGCAGATGACAAACATCTTGCCTTTCATCATAGCATTTTTGGGCAAGCAGTATCACGCAGAAGAGAGCTTCCCTCGTGCCAAGAGCCTTAATAAGGCCGAACTGCGTGTCACCACTCATCCCTTCACACTTTCTGTATATCCTAGAATGGATGACTCGAAGGAACGCTTTAAATGCGTGACTCATTGAGCTTATGAGTCTATGGTCTCCGCAGTTTTTAGGATTTGTTTTCTTTGGAATGGCGATAAACGTATACTTTAGTCAATCCTGTGGGATTTGTTGCGGGTTTATCCCAGAACAGTGCCTCCGTTTAATTTTTTCAGATGTCCTTCAGTTCGTTTATATCCACAATCGATTATCCTTCTTCTTCTTCTTAAAGTGCCGGTCCTCTGTGGACGTTGGCTATCACGATGGTCCATATTACTTTGTTTACTGCGGATCTGAATAGAGCTGTTGATGTCATTCCAGTCGATATTCGTCTGCGTCCTGCCGATCGTCGACCCTCTATTTTCCCCTGTAAGATGAGTTGGAGTAGGTGGTATTTCTCATTGCGCATAATGTGTCCAAAGTATTCCAGTTTTCTGCGTTTGATGTTTGTTGTTGGAATTCCATTTCTCCTCCGATGTGCTCAATGACCGTTTTATTTGTCACATGATGTACCCACGAAATTCTGAGGATGCGGCGGTAGCACCACATCTCGAAGGCATCTATACGTTTGCACGAGGCATCGGTAAGGGTCCATGCTTCTGTCCGATAAAGGAGGACCGAGAGAACATAACAGTTCAGGACCCTTATTCTAGTGCGGACGCTGAGGGATAGGTTACAGAGTATGTTTCTCATTTTGTTAAATGTGCTTCTTGCTTTTTCGATTCGGCACTTTATTTCTCGGTAGTGGTCCCAATCTTTGTTCAAAGTACAGCCCAGGTATGTAACTGTCTCTGCTGTTTTGATGGCTTCGTTGTTTGCAGTAAACTGTAGGTTTCCCATATCGTTTTTACTGATAATTAATATTTGTGTTTTTTTACAGTTTATCTTCATACCGTATCCTTCGCATGCAGTCGCCACTCGGTCCACAAGTCTCTGAAGCCCCTCGGCAGTGTCGGCCACAAGAACGGTGTCATCCGCATATCTCAAGTTGTTTATAATTTGACCATTTACTACAAGTCCGTCCTCTGTATCATCCAATGCTTCCTTGAATAGATGTTCTGAATACACGTTAAACAGGAGAGGCGACAGTACGATCCTTGTCTGTTTTTTATTGACGTTAATTTACTTCTTTTGTTTGATCCAGTGATTTCTTTTATATTTTTATGAAAGTTAAAAGAGTCGCGTAACTGATGGAGTCTTTCAGCCTCTTCACATTTTATTTAGCAACTTCAAAATAAAAAATGGAAGTGATGAAAAAATAAACATTGACATGTTAACGGTGTAGCTAACTTTAACTTTTCTCACTTTACTATTATTTAATGTCTTTTTCTATTAACATTTCACAATAAAAATATACTGTTTAAAAAACTAAAAACTTTAATACCTCCGAGCGGTAACAATAAACTTCACTGTCAATCTCATCTGAAAATGACTTATTTTCAGAAGAGATTTTGTCCGATTCCGACGACAATTAACGTACCAGCATTATCATTAATTACAGCATTAAATAAATCATCTTATGACTGTAGAATAAAGTAACATCGTTTTGCAGTAGCACAATATATTACAACACATTCAAAGGAGACAAGGTAGAATTTGTCCCCGGGAAAGATTGATAAAAGTTCTAAACCAATGTCCAGGAAACAAATAGTTTCGTTTAAGTTCTGCAACTCAGGTTGATTGAACCCATCAATAGCACACGAGTTCTTATATCATTGTCACCTCCGGCTCCGTCCTGCACCTTCGTAATAAAGAATCGATAATACAAACTCAATTCCGCAAAACGAATTTTATATGCTTCCCGGAAACATATGTCAGTCGATTATTATGTCTTGGTATATAGCAGAAAAAGTAATGTACGCTCGCGCACGCTAAAAAATGAAATTTTAGTGCAAACATGGAATACATTTGACGGATTTGCAATTGATTTGATTGAACATTTAGCTAACAATCATAGACACAAGAAAATACTACGAGAGGCCACTACTCATCAACAAGATCACAACTGTGCAATTTTTAATAATTTTTCACCATCTGAGATCTACTAGAAAACTGGAAAAGGTGCTCAACAGCATACGAAGAACGTTATTCAGCATGCTCAGGGCTCAGAAAATATTTATATCAAAATGATTCCTTTGACTGATCCGTATTTAGTTGATAATGTCTCTTTCCTTGTTAACTAGTGTTTGAGGTTTCCCCGGACTCTTTGAAGCAAGCAGATAGAGTATCCAAGTGGCATTAACGATTTTAGACCCATCAGTTTGTTGCCAACCATCTCAAAGGTTGTTGAAAAACTTGTAGATAAACAAGTTCGTCAGTTCCTTTACGATAACAAAATCCTCTTAGACACTCAATCGGGGTTTCGACCTCTTCATGGCACTACTCCTGCTTTGTTTCGTGTTCCTGAAATTAAACTCTTGTCTCATACTCTTGATGAACCATAGCAATATTGTATATTGTATATTCATAAATATCTTCTCAGTAAGGAAGTCAACCTTAAACTCTGTGCCAGCTGTATCCTATGTTGCTTATTGCGGTATGATCGCTTGTCCAGCTATACTAAGAGATAAAGAGAGACTCCGATGACTTCAGACTGCTTATATTCGTTTTAGTTATAATCTCCGAAAGTGTGACCATATTTTCTCTGATTCGGGTTGGTTCAAGCTGGAGTACCGTTATAAAGTTTAGTTGACCACCTTTGTTGCCATTGTTTGCGTTCCTAGACATACTTCGGTAACTTTCCAGAGACCTTTAAACTATAACGCAGATAAAATATTTAATGAAATAATAAATGCTATAACGCAATTTGCGAATGTCGCCACTCTTAATGACGGTTTATTATTGTTATTATTGGGGTACTTCGCCTTGTAAAGTTTTATAAAGTTTTTTTTTTGCTTTAAAAAATCAGTAGTTAATTTTTACTTGTCAGGTAAAGATTTGACAATGGTATTTTGCCATGCCCAACTAATGTTGTAGCAATAATCTCAGACAGAAAGAAGGGTAAATATGACTTAATAGAGTTGTAGGTTTTTGTAAGATCTGTCACAAACAATAATAATATATATGTTTAAGCCATTTAAGATTTTCAATTTAAAATCATCCAAATGTATTTGTTTATTTTGAACACCCTGTAGCATGTAATTCAAATATGAGTAAAAATTTGGCTTTATCGTAATTTTCTTGCAAGTGTGAAAACCAGTACTTTTTTTAGAAAAATTAAAATGTTGAAAAAACTATTAGGTTTAGGTATGTAATATTAATAATCAACACGTTATTCTTCAAAATAATTTTAAATTGTGCATCCTAACAATCTTTATAACCTTTGTATTTACCATTTGCTTATCACTTTTGAAACCAATAAGATAATGGACTTCACGTTAACTATTACTCGTTCTGTATAGTTTCATTAATTCCCCATACTCCTCAAAAAAATTCCAAGCGTGCATAAAACTGTTTCTCTGAAAGTCTCTCTTAACGGAAATGTAGATAACATCTTGCCTTATACAGCTCCTAATTTTTTAACACAATTTAATTTAATTTTAATTTTAAAATGTGTAATTTAAAAACTATAGAAAAACATTACAAATAAGATAATGTTTATATATTATCTTCTACTCCTGCATCTCTGATCATCACTGCTATTGCTTCTTCGATGCCTTTATTTACATTTATTCTTTTTTTTCTTCTCTTTCTCCTTATATTTATTGTAACTCGATTTTTTATTTTTGTGTTGTCCGTATTCCTCATCAGATTCGCTACCATAATCTTTTTGATCGCCATCGCCATCACTGCAAGAGTTGGAATCTCGCCTAGATTTATAGCTGCTATTGTAAATAGTAAATAGAATTTCTATTACTGTTGTGACTTCCACTTGATCTATGTTTCCCATTGTTCCGCGAGTCTGATAATTCTTTGTACTCTTCATATTTTGCATTGTTTATAACTCTTGATCCTTTTTTGAAGTCATCTTTACTTATAGGAGTCAACAACAGTTCATTAATGTTTGCTATCTCGCCCTTTGGATAAAGTTTGACAATTGCACGCCCTGCTTCATCATCAAATCCTTGAACTTCACAATAATTCCCTTTGTAAATGCCAGCCACAACTTTAGCAAATGCACCCTTCACAATGACTAATTTCTCATTGTCCTTGTCAACTGCTTGATTTTTTGAAACAGCTGACTGGATTATTTTTGATGCTCCCAGGCCTAATCCTTTTGGTCTTACTTCGGGAATATTTGTAGCAGAAGGTTTCGAGGTATTTTTTCCAATTGGTTTTCCTTCCTTCCATCCCATCCCCCTCAACATTGCCATGCCATGCCATATTCACTTATGGGTATCATTTCATAATCATTCAATGTGGATTCTGCTTCCCCTTCAAAGGATTCTCTGTTTTCTTTTAAAGGAAGTTCCAAACCTTTATCCCCTGACGAGTCATTTTGAAGCAAACGCTTCTTTGCATCATTAACAAGCTCCCTGGCTGCCAATTCATCTTCAGTTAATTCAGAAGTCACTCCATTATCTTCCTGTTGACTAACTCCTTTTTTTTTCTTTTCACTCAACTAATGAATGATATTGTTTCTTGTACCATTTATAGGGATTACCAAAGGCTCGTGAACTTTCTCAACAAAAGCCTTTATTTTAATTGCATGCTCTTCTAGACAATCTATTAATTCCTGGTTTCACGAAAATATTAGGTTTTTTTGTCAATTTACTGAATCCAAATGAAATCTTTTTCTCCATTTATGTAAATATTCAATTCAATTCAATTCAATTATTACAAAATTTGAGAATATAAAGATAGGCAAGCGTATAATCAGAATAAGACATTGGGCATGAATGATGTGTCCATAATAATAATAATAATAATAATAATAATAATAATAATAATAATAATAATAATAATAATAATAATAATAATAATAATAATAATAATAATAATAATAATAATAATAATAATAATAATAATAATAATAATAATAATAATAATAATAATAATAATAATAATAATAATAATAATAATAATAATAATAATAATAATAATAATAATAATAATAATAATAATAATAATAATAATAATAATAATAATAATAGAATAGAATAGAATAGAATTTATTGGCCATTCAGATACGTCACAAAAACAACAAATGGTACGTCAAAGGTTAACAATACAAAAGAATTTATATATATAATATAAAAGGTTGTACAATTTTTGAGAACTAACACACTAACGCAGTGGTCTATTCAAGTGTAGTATGTTTGATCAACTCCAAGTATTCATTAATATCATAGAAAGGATTATCAGTAAAAAAACTTTTCATTCTCTTTTTAAATTGTCTGTATGGTAGATTTTTTATATTATTTGGGAGAACATTATACAGTTTAACATTAATCTTATTGTTTTGTGAGGACGTCAGTCTGGAGTGAGGTGGGGTGATCATGTCAACATACCTAGTATTATACTCATGTCTATTGCCAAGTGTCCCATAGACATCCGCGTTTTCGTGAATATACAGGATGGATCGGTATATATAAGTAGAAGGCAGCGTCATAACCTGGAAGTCAGAGAAAATGGGCTTGCAGTGGGCAATCGGGTTGGCACCGCAGAGGACCCGCACAGCCTTCTTTTGCAAACGAAAAGCTCTTTCCGTATATCCAACCCCACCCCAAAGCACAATGCCATAAGACAGCACACTATGAAAAAGCCCAAAATAGGCTATCCTAAGGGCCGCCGGGGTTAGACAATGGCTGAGATGTCTCAGTAGGAACAGTCGCCGAGACAACGTTGCACAGACCTCATGAATCTGGCCTGACCATGACAGAGTCCTGTCAATTACGAATCCCAAGAGGGTTATATTATTTTGATACAGATAGTCGACTTTACTGCAGGAGAAGGTAAGTTCTTGAGTTTTTTGTTTATTGAGGACTAAGTTATTTGCAGAAAACCATTGCTGGAGAACATTTGTTGCTACGCTGACATCTTCACTTAATAATAATAATATGCCAAATTTGTAGACAACGACAAATTTTAATTAAAAATAATATATCACATTTTGTACATCCACAAAACTCTTAATTGATTCGGGATCACATATCATAAATCTATTCTGCCGCATATTGCAGAAAGTAGGGTAAATAAATGTTTAAAGAAACTGCCACATAATTTATACAAAATACAAAGTCTAACCTATATAATATAACAATTTTAAGCACAAATATTACATTAAGTTACATGTTGAATACAAGCAAATCTTACATTTAATTAAATTAAGAAGACTAAGCTTTTTATTTTAGACATTTCCCCTTTTTTGTTATTTATTCTTGTATATATATTTTTTCTCATATTTCGTTTAATTTTTGTTCTTTATGCGTATGTATTTATTATGGTGCTTATTGCTTCGAGGCTTACAGATATAATAAATGTTTTTTAAAAGCACTTAAATATGTTAAAAGATCTTTGCCCTATTTATTTTTTACACTTATTTGTTATATCACATTTCCCTTTTCTCTATTTCTTGTATTGTAAGTTCGATTTTGTAGTTCGGTTTTGTTTTAGAAAATATTTAAAACCGTTAATCACTGCCTTACCGTGAAACATTTCGACTTCCTAAACAGTTGTACAGAAGAATAGTTTCTAGTTTTTTAGAAAACTGTTTTTAGGAAATATTTTTGCAAAATTTCCATTTTTTTAAGTACGTCCAGTACTCCTCCCGATCCCAAGATACAATATTGTAAACGTGACTGCACTAATGTATAATAAAGTGGCATTTGGCATTTATTTAGAATAGTTTTTTAAATATTTGAACTTGTAAATCAATGGCCTTAGATTGTTTACTACTGTTTGTAACGGTTTATTCTATTTTAATTGTGCATCCATTGTTATTCCTAAGTATTTTATTTTTTCTGCCGACATTATATCTAAAATGTTAAAATTTGGCAAACTCCGTATATCGCACGAAAATTGCATAAAAACTGTTTTTTCTTCATTCACCGTAAGTTTACTGAAGTCATTTAAGATCATCCCAACAATCATCTCCGTATAAGAAAACTTGGTTGTCCGCAAAACCAAGAATGTAAATAGGCTATGCTTTGATTAGATACTTATCACAGGCTGTGTGTTCCGAAAAGCTGCTAACCAATTCTACTACTTTCTATGGACAGTTCAATCTGGAAAGAGCTAAATTTATGTATTATTTGCAGCGATTGTCTAACATCAAACGAAAGTACAACGCCTGACGTCAACCAAGCCCCATCTAATATTTAGCTGCAGAATGTTTAAATTGCGTTTACATGGCTTTTACATACATACCTAATAGCAATAAGCGGAGTTTGCTTTTTTTAGGGGCCTGAATAATTCACGAGTTTATAAAGAAGACACGAACGACCGTCGCGTGACGTTTTCCATCCGCTTCGACGTTTTATGTACTAAAATTTTCATGTCGAATCGATCAAGGGCCTTTTCCATTTTTTACGCTTAATTGAAAACTAATAGCGGCGTAACTCGCCACTTAATCATAATTAAACGAAGCCTGTGATAGAAAAATATGCCCTGGGTAAATATCTTTCGTTTTTTAATTTCATTGATAGATGAGCCCTTTTTCGAAAGATGTTTTACGTTCGAAACTTCAGGGCCGAGTTCCGTAAAGCATGTTAATCTTAACTTAGACGGGCCAGCGCCGGATAACAAACAACGCAAGATAAATTTATTTTAGGTACACACTCAGACATAGCTTAATCTCTTTTGTATGTACCTTTGTACAATTCCATTTGTTTTAAAATTAAGAATAACTGAATTTTATGAATCTAATGATTTTATATAAAAATAAAAGTACATTTTGTTCTCACTTCAGCAATCTCAAAAAAATGCCAATAAATTAAGGTAAATATATAAAGAAATATATGCCGATATAGAAACGAACATGGGAACATCATATGATTCGCTGTAATTATAAGCAAAAGCTACAACAATTCTGCATAATTGCTGATTTTCTCATTTTGCATGAAAGCGTGCGCTACCGTGACAATACGATTTATAAGCAGAAATAAAAAAATGTACTTGCCTTTTTCTTATCACCTTTACTGGAACAGACTGAATCTGCATTTCAGCGAAATATGTTTGTGGCCAATTAAATACTAAACAATGCGTCTCTCTTTTGTCTAAAGATATTCGTGGCTCCTTGTACTCTCTTTCTAATAAGTTTGAATGAGTAGCAACACGCACCGAAACTAAACAAAATTTAATGACATAAATTTGACAAATGTTGACACAAAGCCTACTTGAAAATAGCAATATTATAAATTTGAGTCTATTTTAAAGTGTGTTGAGGTAGATCGATGCTGGATAATTAGATTTGAAGTTTATTGATTGCACTATTTCGTCTTTTAAATATTTATGAATAAAATTTAAAAAAATGTATTGAAATTTTAAATGAAAGTAAATGAAAAATCCACAGCCTTAGACGGGCAAAAAATTTGAACATTCGTTCAGATTTTCATCATGTATCAACCATAAATATGATTCGATCCGCTTCTAATGTTTCAAATTCTTAATTGTCTCAAACTGCAATTTATATTATTATATTATTAAAATTTTCTCAATTAATGGGATAGTAATATTTTGGTATATAGTAATTCAAATTGTAGTTTTCTATGTCATTATTATAATTAAAAGTGCCACTTTTTTACTGAAAATACATAATACTGTTTTACATACTTTCTTTTGAAACCATTGCTCTTAAGCATTATATTCTGCTCCAATTATAAGTAATAGAATAAAATATACAAAACCAATAAAAGCTCGCATTTCTTGGTTTGTAAAAAATATTTTTATATTGTTGTATATAAATAATGCTTCAAATGACAAAACAAATATCTAATTTTAATATCTTAATATTTTCAATGTTTTCCTATAGTTCTTAGATATTTTAAAACCATTCAAACAAAATCAGATCAATAGATATTTTGTTATTAGAAACATAACACTATAAACTTCCGTGCGCTACCGTGACAATACGATTTATAAGCAGAAATAAAAAAATGTACTTGCCTTTTTCTTATCACCTTTACTGGAACAGACTGAATCTGCATTTCAGCGAAATATGTTTGTGGCCAATTAAATACTAAACAATGCGTCTCTCTTTTGTCTAAAGATATTCGTGGCTCCTTGTACTCTCTTTCTAATAAGTTTGAATGAGTAGCAACACGCACCGAAACTAAACAAAATTTAATGACATAAATTTGACAAATGTTGACACAAAGCCTACTTGAAAATAGCAATATTATAAATTTGAGTCTATTTTAAAGTGTGTTGAGGTAGATCGATGCTGGATAATTAGATTTGAAGTTTATTGATTGCACTATTTCGTCTTTTAAATATTTATGAATAAAATTTAAAAAAATGTATTGAAATTTTAAATGAAAGTAAATGAAAAATCCACAGCCTTAGACGGGCAAAAAATTTGAACATTCGTTCAGATTTTCATCATGTATCAACCATAAATATGATTCGATCCGCTTCTAATGTTTCAAATTCTTAATTGTCTCAAACTGCAATTTATATTATTATATTATTAAAATTTTCTCAATTAATGGGATAGTAATATTTTGGTATATAGTAATTCAAATTGTAGTTTTCTATGTCATTATTATAATTAAAAGTGCCACTTTTTTACTGAAAATACATAATACTGTTTTACATACTTTCTTTTGAAACCATTGCTCTTAAGCATTATATTCTGCTCCAATTATAAGTAATAGAATAAAATATACAAAACCAATAAAAGCTCGCATTTCTTGGTTTGTAAAAAATATTTTTATATTGTTGTATATAAATAATGCTTCAAATGACAAAACAAATATCTAATTTTAATATCTTAATATTTTCAATGTTTTCCTATAGTTCTTAGATATTTTAAAACCATTCAAACAAAATCAGATCAATAGATATTTTGTTATTAGAAACATAACACTATAAACTTGTTAGTCAACAACTACATAATTCATAATCATTATTCTTAAGTAAATACCAGATAACTCAACAAAACCAACCAGAAATAATAGCTATTACTTAATAAAGTACAATCAGAATTTTTTTACTTTGTAATAAATAAGAACTAAAAGTTCAGATTTTCAGGAAATTATATATTATGACATGACAATTGTTTCGACAACACCGTGTCTTTATCAAATGTAATATTTACAAACTACATGCTACTATATATACCGAAAAATGACCATAAAACCTTAATTAATGTTGTTGCAAGAATTTAAGTTCAATAAAGGAGATGTATTTAAATCTAATTGATCGTTAAGCAATACATTTGAATGTCTCATTTTGTTAATCTCCATGGCTTCCAATAAATTTAATTTTCTACTTTTTGTGGCTGTATGTAATATATCAAAATTGTCGTCAAAAATGTGTTTTTCTGTGTTTAAGTGTGTAGCATAATTAGATTCTAGACTATTGTTTTTAAACGCTCTTATATGTTTGTTAATGCCTTTCTTGAAGAATCTACCTGTTTGTCCAATATAAATTTTAGGACAAGATCCACATTTCAACCTGTAGACAACTGATTTTTGGGATTTTCGACATTTTGATTTATTATTTTGTTGTTAGTCCTAAAAGCTATTTTTAAACCACATTATGACAAATGTTTTGAAACTTTTTCACTAGGTTCTCCTATGTACGTAATTGTTTTAAATTGTTCGATCAATTAGATTTAAATACCTCTCCTTTATTGAACTTAAATTCTCGCAACAACATTAATTAAGGTTTTATGGTCATTTTTCGGTATATATAGTAGCAGGTAATTTGTAAATATTACATTTGATAAAGACACGGTGTTGTCGAAACAATTGTCATGTCAAAATATATAATTTCGTGAAAATCTGAACTTTTATTTCTTATTTATTTTGGTAAATGGATTTTCATCAAGTAAAAGCCAGTTACTTTTTGAATGGGCCGAAGTCAAATTGATCAGCCCAAATGCTAATTATATTCAAAAACCTTTCACGCGCCTAATTTGTACTCGATCGTCGACATTTAGTGGTTAACACTTCGCCGCATGTGCACCACATAAAACATTGAATTATCCAGCGTTCAGTTGTTTGTGGCCAATTAACAGGAAATAATGCCGGAGCAAGACGGCCAACCTAACCAAACGATAATGAACATATACGTTCAATATCCGTTGACTTGTGCAAGTCTATGCGCATTATGAACGCCTTTCCTGAATCAGATAACTGTTATGTTCGACTAATTGGCTATTAGCAAGTACCTAACGTCCTTTAATCTAGAACATTATAGTTAATTACATCAGGGAATTCGTACGACAAATTCAATTCCACTTGAAATAAATAATTAATCGTCAACAATTCATATGAGAATTACAATTTGCAACGATGAATGTGCCTGAAGTATCTTGATCAACAAACATGCCTTAAGTCATTTGAACACTTTCGACGGACATTTTTGGTAGTTTTTTTAGTTTAAACAGAAAGGAAACACACTTATCCAGACCTCAATTACTTTCTTTAAGATATTTGTGCAGTTCAACTAACAAAAAGGCTATTAATTGATTGATATCAAAATATAATTTTCTATTGAATTTATATAGGGTTTGATTCTTAAATCAATAAAATAAAGAGAATTGTAGTCGAAAATATATTTACAAAAATCGGTTTACACAGTCTAATCAGTCCTCTCTACCAAGCTTTGATATCAGGCACAGCGTAGCTGAGTACTGGCGACGCTACCGCAGGTCCAGAAATGACGGTTTTCTGTGCTACCGGTCCAGAAATAATAGCAGATCCCGAATAACCTACATGGGCAGAATATGCTACCGGTGCAGCTACAGCTACGGGAGAGGCAGCGTAAGCAGCTACTGCTGGGACAACTTCCACAGACTTCGCCACCACTGGAGCGGCAACAACAACGGGTTCCGCAACTACTGCTTTGGCAACGAGAGTGGGTTTGCTGGCTATCACATCTTGCCTGTAAGTGTGGCTCACAGCGGCTGGAGCTACGACGGTTTTAGCTACCACTGGAGCGGCATAACTTGCTACTGCTGGAGCTGCGTAGGTCGCAACCTTTTGCACTACCGGGGCAGCATAGGCAGCTACTTTAGCGGGTTTCCTGATGACGTCTTCCCTGTAAGTGTGACTGACGGCAGCTGGTACTGAGTAAGCTATCGGAGTAGCTACTTGAACGGCGCCATGCAAAACGCCACTTGGTTTAGCGACGGTTATGGCTACGAGAGCTGACAACACCACCAATTTAAACATTTTGAAATTGTTTGTAGGTCTGTGTTGCGAGTCGAATAACTGACTGATTGAGACTGAATATGGTTTGGATTAATGCACGTTTTATACTTAAAGCGGTAAGTACGGAACAAACATGAAATTGGCCAAATCGTTGTGCACGTTCACCTAAAAATCTCGAAGATGTTGACCGTGAAAGTAAAAAATCCGTTCAGATTTATCGTCCCGTGTGTTGGCGTGGCATTATCCGATGACGTATGTGAACATGAGTTTTTGTTAATTACCCGATACAAAGTGAATCAAGGCCTCGCTAGCTCTTAAGTTTAATCTAGATGGTTTTTACTGGTCTACCGAAAATGTTCAGATTTTAAAATTATCTATCCCAGAATAACAAAATTTTTGTCGATTGACCTCTGTTGATAGAGAGACATATAACTATGACTATAAATAAGAAACCCTGATAAGAAAAATTTTGCTTAAACAGCTCTTTTGTTGAAACAACACTTATTTTTTGATAAGCTATGATATAAATTATGGTTTAACAGCAGTTGAAATCGATGATGTATCGCAGGTGACATAAATTTAAGTAGCTGTAACAACGCTGCTTCAGTGAGAAAATATTTGAACTCTAGACCGCAATCAACGGTCGCAACCACATTTTTTTTTATATGTTCTTAAACAGTTTCTCTTTATTCAAAGCTTTAGACTTTAGACTGCTAAATTTCTCGCAATTCTAAACAATTACAAAACTTAAAATCTTGTATTAGTTATTTGTTTATTTATATATTATTATTATATATATTATTATGAACATTGAGTACGAGCCCTAACAACTAATTGTTCGGACGATGTACGAAATAATAAGAAAACATATTTATACTTATTTAAAATTAATTTTTTTTGCCTTTTCGATTGAAAAATGAAATCACGCACTTATTTTTATATCAAAATGTGCTATCGTAATGAATTACTTTTTTATTTCACATAAATTACATAAGAAAATATCAAAAACATACCGAATTTGCTGACAAATAAATATTCGGACGCATTTAAATCTTTTACTTTAAATCGAACATTAATAACAGCAATAACGGCAATAACAGCTTTTATGCGTTTTAACATGGAATCTACCAAAGCCTTGCAATATTCGGGGGTGAAAGTGTTCCAAATTTCGGTGATTTTTGCCTTTAATGCTGGAACTGTACGCTGAGGATTGTTACGCAAAGTCTTTTTCATCCGATGCCATAAAGTTTCAATAATATTCAAGTCTTGATGGCCACGATAAAACTTTCATATTATGGTCCCCAAACCACTTTTTTGTTGTTTTCGCAGTATGTCTTGTTGACATATAAAATTTTCATTTCCAAAAGTTCATCAATGAACTCGTAGTTGCCAACCCCTTCACCACTCATACACCCCCATATCATAACGCCCTGGGGAAATTTTACCGTACGCTTTAGACAATCTTTGTGAAAGGCTTCTGATTTTGTACGAATCACCCTATTTCGAAAATCGCCCACACACACATCAAATTTTGATTCGCCGCTGTAGATAACGTTACTCCACGTTTCCGTTGTCCAGGATATTTTAGATTTTGCCCAATCCAAACGTTTTTTCTTCTGAATAGACGTTATTAATGGTTTTTCCTTTGCCTTTAAGTAGATCATAGAATATTAATAATTTTTATATTGAAACAGAAAAAATTGTAAACTTTCCTTATAAAAACTCAAACGAGACTTATGCATCCATTGTCTACAACATTCCCTGGAGACATTTAAGTTTGCCTCGTGATTCCATTGGGCTTAAATTTGTCGTAAGACAGTTCATCTGCCAGTTTTACAAATCTTGACCATAATACGACGATCTCTTTCAGTGATTTTACGGGGTCGGTCTGAGCTTTTACCACGGACGATAGCACTAGCTGTCTCTCCATACCTTTTTCTAATATCCCCGACTGTTGATTTTGCAATACTCAAGTCATTTGAAATTTTTTGCATTGATTTACCTCTGCAGTACTGAGATATGATAATTTCTCGCACTTTTTTGTTTGTTGCAACACCACGCGTCATTTTCTTATCAACTATTATACAAGGTTGAAAGATACAACCCGAACTGACATCTCATTTATCTAAGCACACTAGATTTTACCACCAATGCATGGGTAGCATTGATTTCTTGGTCAATAAACAGCAAATTTGGTATGTTTCCGTTATTTTGCTATGTAATTGATGCGAAATAAGAAATAATTCATTACGATAGCACAGAAAGTGCTATGGTAATGTGCGTAAATTGATTATTCAATCGACAAAGCAAAAAAAATAAATAAATAGATATAAAAATGTCTTTTTTATCAGTTTTTACATCGTCCGAACATTCAGTTGTTAATGCTCGTATATCGAAAATAAGGTTAGACACGTGTCTTTATCAAATTTGATAAAGACACGGTGTTGTCGAAACAATTGTCATGTCATAATATATAATTTCGTGAAAATCTGAACTTTTAGTTCTTATTTATTTTGTGATTATTAGTCTGCTAATGGCCATGTCCTGACCGACCCTAGTTTATCTGCTGTTAGAAATGTCATGACAGTAAATGTAAATGTAAATGTAAACGTAAATTATTCCTTAGTTAAATTACCGATTGTTTATTAGAACAAGTGGAAATGAATTAAGTATGAAATAATTATAATGGGGACTGAATTCTTTTCTCGTCTGTTACCAAAGGCTTTTTAATCAATATTTTCTTTACGAAATAGTCATATTATTTCTCCGTTCTCCGTTTGCCTACTTATATGAAACTGAATTTTCCCCTCTAAAGAATAAATATGGCCAAAAGACGAGAATGTTATAAATTTAATATCAACTTTCAATTTTCCATGGGTATTTTAGTAAAGCTGGAGAAATATTTGCTGCTTTAATAATCCCTAAAATAAGAATTCGAATTTCAAATTTGCCAACTAAATATGTCGTCATATATGTTTTTGTTAAAATTTGTAGAAATAGGTTTTCATTAGGCTTATATTGGCCTTAAGTAGCAAAGTTTCAGCGCCATCATCATGTTTTATTCAATGCGGGTTGAAAACATTATTTTTTGAAATATCTATATGGCTTCTATTAAAATTTCCCCCCAAACCAGATAGCGAATTAGAATGTATAACGCGTTGTAGTACCATCCTAAGTGTACTTGAAACACGATTGATTCTCGGAAGTGTTGGTAGGAGTTGGGAAATAGAACACTTAAGGGTTAAATAGGTTAATTATCTTTTGCAGTCATACAGTCGGCAATTGATATTGACGTCAAACATTTGCTAAATGAAAATGCAACAAAATACTATTTATCTTCAGGCTTTATTGAATAAATTAGTATTTACACAGTCAATACTATCAGTCCTCTCTTACCATGCGTGGACAGATGGAACATGAGCGGCGTAGCTAATGGCAGGGGCGGCAACCACCGATTTAGCGTACACTGGGGCAGAGTAAGCTACGGGGGCGGCAACTACCGATTTAGCGTACACTGGGGCGGAATAAGCTACGGGGGCGGCGTAGGCAGCAGCGTAAGCGGGTTTGCTGATGACATCTTCCCTGTAGGTATGACTGACGGCAGCTGGAGCTACGACGGTCTTAGTCACAACTGGCGCGGCGTAGGCTGCTACCGCTGGGGCGGCATAAGCGACCTTCTGGACTACCGGGGCGGCATAAGCGGCTACGGCGACGGCATGGGGTTTGCTGATTACGTCTTCCCTGTAGGTGTGGCTCACTGCAGCAGGCACGGAGTAAGCTAGCGGGGCAGCTACTTCGATGGCACTGTGGTGTAAGACACTTGGTTTAGCCACGGCTACGGCGACGAGAGCGGACAACACCACCAACTTGAACATTTTGTAGGTCTGTGTTGCGAGTCTAAAGACTGACTGATTGAGACTGATACCATAACGAAATTTGCTTAGTCTTTTTATACGAAATCGTACAATGTGTAATATAGAGTTTTTGGTGCGTCACGCCGTCGGATTTCGTTTGGACCTTGACAATCGAAAAACAGGATGCAGGGCAATAAATTTTCTTAAAGAACCATGAAACGTTCTCGTAACGCGAGTAGCGAAGACCAACGCCCATACCTAAATTTGTTGAAAGATTGTAAAAGGTACACGCGAAGGACGTCGCGTTTTTTAATTGCAACGGGCGGGCATAAGCAGTCTGCTCGCTATTGCCGGATACGTTTGCTTTCGTCACAGAAAAGAATGCGGCTATTTGTTCTCAATGAAAGAATTTCATACATTGAATTTATCAGATTAATAATGTCGTTTTGAGGTGGTAAGGCGAAAGAAGGGAACGAAACAACGCAAGCAAGTAGTGTGCAGCATATTAATTGGAAAAATAATTTGAAAATCAAAATAATTGACATTTAGCAGTTAAAATTAACAGCAGAAGATCTAATAATTAGTTACAATTAGTACAATTTAATGAAAAAATTGAACAGTGATAAGATTTATAAAAACATAAATAAAAATGGTGAAAACTTTGAAAATGTAACTTATATCAACTATCTAAACTAATATATTAAATGAGATTCAACACTTTTTATACAGATTAATACAGATGCTATTAACAATCACTTGATTCAAAACAAGGTATCTATTAAGTATTGTTAGCATCTCTTCATTGCAGTAAAATTACCACAACGCATTAAATTTAATGAACTAACTATATATACTCTCTACTACAGATTTGTAAATAAAGAAACTTAAGCAATTGCTAATTACAAATCAAGGCGTCTAATTTAAAAACAACCAAAATGGACAAGTATCCAATAGATAATAGGTTCTATTTTGTTGTTTTCCATAGGCAAAATCGTTTTCCACAATCTAAATCCTGCTCTATTTAATTTAAGCTAGAGAATTTTCTAAAAATTGGTATTCTCGAAAAAACTTTTTTCTACTCCCGTATATAAAATACCTACAGATCTAGCGTAAGGTGAGCGTCACTTTACCACGTCAGTTTTATTTCCCACGCATCTGAGCCACTTTGGACATTTCCGCTGCGCTCCGCTCGTGTCAAATGCCGTTTACCGCACTTGTTGCATAATATACTATTTTCCACTTCCTTTTCGGTTCATGGTGTGCAATGTTTCCCACACAAGTTAACCCTTGGATCTCCCTTAAATTTAACTTCCGACTGAAGGAAATCTACTCTGATATCATTTGACAGTAATAGATTTACTTCAAAATAATAGTGACATACAAAAGGCAATGAAATACTAAAAATAAATAAACCACTGTAACTGCAAAATGGTATCTAGACCTACTATCTATACCTAGAATCTAATATTACACAATAAAAAGTAAGCAAACGAATAACACAAAAATAACCTCCCAAACCACAAATCAATTTACATAATAACAAAGCTACCAGGTCACACTATTCAGTGCACATCTCTATCTAACTTTACGCCTTTCAAAATCAATCAACCAATCTTTTTGCTTAAGATTAATCTAATGTCAAGGAATTTTTATTCTAATTATTATTATAATTTCCGTAACTCCACACTTCGATTTGGAACAGTTCGAATGCGGTACTATCAGTGAAATATTTTGACAAAAACCTGATCTAAATTTTATTGGTTTTGCATTGGCATTAACACAGTGTCATAAATTTTTAAAAGTGACTTCAAAAATTTCTTATCTTTTTAGAAAACTTTACCACTGACCAAAGTCAAAATTTATATACTTCAAAATTTGTCAATATTTCAATGTTTTTTTTTTAGTTTTTTAGTTTAATAATCATTTCTTCTACTCATATCTTCGATGTATCGTTTTAAAAATTAGATTTTTAGCAAAAATCTATTTTTACACACAGTTTAAAAGAATATATGCCCTTAAATATATTCAAACGTCTGGAATATCATGGAGCAGTTGGATTTTTTGAGCGTCTTTTTTTTAGATAAACGATTTTGGCGATGATTCAGCGGAATACGGTGTCGACCAACAATAAAAGTTAAAGTAAATTGATGGAGTGCCCCGGGCCGCGATATAGAACGTAAAAAATCCCGGGCAAGCTGGCGGGAGATTAATAAACTTTGGCAAACTGTCAAAGAAAAATCAGGAAAGTTTTCCTTCAAGAAACTGAGATGGCCACCGACGCCAGAGTTTCACCTGTAACCGGAGACTTTAATCTCGTTAATTAGGATCATTTCGCGTTTTTATTAGTTTTCTCCGATTTTTAGTTTTGTTTTAATAAGCGCGCAATGCCTGACGACGCCTGGCTTAATTAAATTTTCTGCGATTTTAAACAGAAAGAAGTTTTAATGTCAAGGTCTTTCGTTTTAATTAAGACGCTCTTGCCCAATATTTTCTTTAGACGTATAATTCGGAACATTCGCGTTAATTATTCTAAAACATCTCTTATCTTGTTTTATTTTATTTAGATACTAACCTACCGGTTTATTTGGATAAATTCATTAGCATATCATAAACATTCTACTAATCGAATCTTACCCTCAGGCAAAATGGGCTCCGGTTCCATTTAACAAGCCCAATTTTGCTTCGAAAATAAACTGGACAATAAATAAAGAAAATTAATCCCAAACCACAAAGTTCCGTAGACTACTCAAAACTTTTTTTTAATATTCTTCCTAGAAGATATGAATTATTATTCAAACATTATGAATTATATAAAAAAATATATACTGCTCGGCTTTATTTTTTTCAAAAAACCAAATGAAAGATAGGAAATACATCGTAGTGGCGAATAAAGGTTCCGCATATCATACCTTACAAGTATAGGTATAATAAACTCCTTATGTCTGCCAATTAGCGACATGTTTCTCGTCGTCGTTTCCACGAGACCATGATTGTTATTTTAAGTTCATTACAGTCTGAAATAATAAATAATACTTCAAGCCAATACGATATCCAAAACCTTTGATCATGCGGATATATAGCGGTCGATTAAATCGCTCTCAATAATGCTAAGAACTTTACTGTTTGCCAATGGTATTGAAATCATGATAGAAGTTTGGATGAACTCGGACTTCGGATTTTCTTGCTTGCTCGTTATCTTTTTGCTTAGTTTTGGTTAGTTCAATTACGGTAAAAACTGACAGCAAATTTTAAACGTAACTTTAATGTGGAATCTATATTTTTTATTTATTGAAAATTTGAGGACTCTGCTACTCTTGATACTACTTATGTGGGATACATTTGTGTATTTTTTTTTGCAATAGATTATTAAAGCCTAAATGTGATATTTTACGAATTTGTAGACTGGGTGTTTTTTAAATTCCTGTTCCTAAAATTATAATTTTTTTAATTTTTGAGGAAGTCATATTAATGTTGAATTTTGTTATTGTCTCCAAATCTAGGCTAATAATAATATATTATACAACAAAGTGTGGTGAACGGCATTTGAATTACATACTATACTTTTTCGACGCCCGTTACTTTTTGGGTACATTTTCGCGAAACAACACGAATACATTCTCTGACATGACCGTCCGAATTGACAAATGTCAAAATTGAAAGCGAGGGAAATATCTCCGAAAACATCCGATTGCTCCCAAATCCATGCGGTAAAATCCCGGAAATGTCCGAAGTGGCTCAGATCTGTGGGAAACGAAACTGTACGTTAGATCGGTATAGGAGGGAGTACAAAAAAATAGTTTTTAGTCTCATTGACGCAAAACCTGGAAAACTATTGACAATGTCATGTCAAGATATTCACTAATTTCACTAATTCACACTTTTTCCGATCTATAAGGTATCGCTCCTTGGACGGGTATTTCATTAAGCCCCAATCGCAAAAAGTCTCCGCCGACACGGCTTAAAAAACGAGGGACTATCATTTTTTCTCTTAAAACAAATGTCAGGTCTGCGGCATTATTAGTTCTAATTTTCACCCCGTAATTAGCAAAAGTTATGGCACAACTTTAGCCCGTTTCAACCCGTTATTTACTAAGTGAATTATTGTAAGCGAAATAATTATGAGCTGACGCTAGATTTCCTCTCCGGGGATGTTTTATCTCTGCAGAGATTCATTTTCGCATATAATGCAACCCCGGGTTTCATAAAAACGTAATTAATATCGTTCACGCCATTTTAATAGGATTAGATAATGGACCAAATGAAGTTGAGTATATTAGCTGAGTCCTTTAGATCTGGAAGTTAAGTTAAAAGAGGGATAAATTACTATTGGTCGCAGAAAACAGATCTTGAAACCACATTTGGACAGGGCGACGCCAGAAAGTGGTAATACTTCACAGCTTTCTGTTAACGATTTGGTTATTTAGGCACCTAAATTAGATGAAATATAACCTAGACTCAGGAAAATAACTCGAAGTTCAACCACGTAATTTACGTATTACAAGAAAAGAAATTTTAAATCAATAAATTGCAATAAAAGACTAATTAACTGTAAAGCAAATCATTTCATCTATAAAAGAAATCTCAAATCACTAACCAAAAACAAAGCAATATTGGCGATTCTATGGATTTTTCTCTACATAGAATAGACATGCATCTTTAGAGAATCACCTGTACCAAAAAGCGTTTACGATTGAAGATAACCAACTCTTTTTGACACATCACATAGACTGATGGACACACACTAATAGCAAAATGATTTAGAAAATAATTCCAGAAGTCTCTTAAACTTACCAAAACATTCCAAAATCCGAAATTGATATTCGCCACCTAAAAAGAGAATAAGTCAAAGCAGGAAAATTATAGAAATGAAAAATAGGTGCGGTAAATTAAAATTCTTGGTTTTATTACCTTGCGAAATTTAACAGGAAACGTCAACGCATTAAAAGTTTAGTTGAGCCATAGTTATACTGACTCCAGAAATATAAAACAGTAAAAATAAAAACGAATTAGTCCAACATTACAGCCATTGAGGTCCTTAAAAACACTCATAATTCTTAACGGCGTTTCCGTGTGCAATCAGAATAAAATGTGTGTTTTTTTTTCAACTTCCACAGTCTACTGTAATCATCCTGTTGATTTCTTCAAAGTTTAACTTTAATATTTTATTTATAAAAAAACAACGCAAAAGCAATCCAGAAGATTTGTAAATAGTAAAATATGTGGTATTTTCTTGGATCCTGAATTAGCCACGCCCCTACACAAGTTGACCCAACAATTTGCATAAGTTTTATTAATGCTTTATTACTCGCTTGTTCTCTTGTAATTCGGGGGGAACTATACCAAAGTCTGGACACTAGAAAAATTCACTGAAAGTTTTACCTGGATTGAGGGAAGATATATACTCAGCCAAAATCGTCTAAAAACTACGACTTTTTGTCGC